TGCAAGTGTCCAGCTGGAAGTGTGAAATCTCGGAAGAACTACAAGGACGGAGGCCGATTCAATGTCAAGATCGGTCGCTAGCTTGAGATGTCAAAGACTTGTAGAGCCAGAGCGGGGGGAGTGATATGCAACAACTGCTTGGATGTAGGGCGGATGATTGTCAAAACGAATTCCTCCTCCTCCTCATCCTCCTCCTCCTCCTCCTCCAGCTGCCGCCCCTGCTCGAGAGGTTTTGGGAGCTGTAACAGGTACAGCGAACCTCTCACGAGGGGCGGGCGGCTACGCGCGCTGGCCCGCGCCCGCCGCTGCGCGGATCGGCGGCCTGGGCCTTGGCCGCGACTGCGACGGGCGGCACGCCGCGGGGTTCCCGCTCGCCGCGGGCTCGCGCGCGGCCCAGCGGCCATGGAGGCGAGCCAGCGTGGCACCGTCGTGATCGACAGGCCCGCGCCAGTGCATGCGTGCTGCTACGAGTTGTCGGCGCGGCGCAGCGGCTACGTGATCATCACAGTTCGATGTCGTGGCAACATCGGGGAGGAGGCAAAGGTGGCGGCACGGGCAAGGGCAAGGGCAAGCAGGTCGTGCCCGCCCGCCGCCGCCACCAGCATGGTGGTGCGAGCAGTGCGGCGAGCCCAACATGATGCAGGATAGACTGTGCAGGGTGTGCTTCCCAATGCCTGCCCAGGCGCCGTGGGCCAATGTTGGGCCACCGCCGCAGATGGCAGGCAGGCGACAGCAGACGCCCACCCCGCAGTCCGATCGGCGTGCCCGATCGTGTGGGGGGGACGGCTGGTCGCAGTCAGCAGGGAGAACGTGCCGATCGACGACGACGGCGTGGTCGTAGTCAGCAGGGAGAACGTGCCGACGCTGGTGCCGACGCTGCCGAGGCCACGCTCCCGCGGCGGCTGGTGCCGACGCCTGAGCCCGAGACTGAGGCTGCGCCCGAGCCTGAGGCTCGTAGAGGCCGCTCGACGTCTGGGCTCAGGCGGACCCGAGCCTCTCGTCGGTCGAGGTCGGCAGATGTCACGTTCGAGGAGAGCGAGGTCGAGGAGGGCACGGACACGGAGGACTCGGCGGCGATGCAGCCACTAGGGGTGTTGCCTGCGCTCCCCGAGGAGGCCAGGGCGCACCCTTCCTGGCTGGAGCCGCCTCGCACTGAAGAAGCAGTGCAGGTGCACAGGAGGTATCTTCGTCGCCTGGCCATCGCCTCCGCCAAGAAGCTGCGTGCAAGTCGGCAGCTTGGGCACCCTGAGAGTGTGATCAACGATTTGGCGCAGGAATATGCAGTCCTCATGACCATGATCATTGTGTGCAGATCGCCGACGGCCAGGCTCCAGCACCGGCGTGCCTTTGTGGAGCGGGCCGAGAAGAGGACGAGACGGGCACAGGACGACGTCGATGAGGCACAGGCTACCCTCGTGCACAAGTCAGGCGTCCTGTCCCAGCGTTCCAGTGAGTTGGCGAGGGCGCAGCTATTGTTACGCCAACTGGAGACGCATTACCCAGAGCCGAACAGCGATGCCACGATGTCGCCGACGGCAGCCGCAAATGGGGACACCGGCACAGCCACACCGCCACCAGGCGCGTCGCCGCGGGGGAGCCGCCCAGCGGATGCGCTGACGTCGAGCTCTGTCGCCGCCATCGCGGAGCTCCAGCAGGGCCAGGTGAACATGGCGCAGCAGTTGGCGGGGCTGTCGTCGGTGCTGGGCGGTCTGCAGGCGACGCTGGGGCAGCTCGCAGCGGGCGCGGCCCAGGCACAGCAGCCTGCAGCAGTGGCGCCAGCAGTGCCAGCGCGGGAGGCGGAGGCGGTTGCATCGCCAGGCCCTGCCGCGCCCGTGGTGGTGTCGGGCGCGCCCTTCCTGACAGAGGCCCAGGCGCGTGCCGCGGCAGAACTACAGGCAGATGTCGATGGCGGGCATGGTGTGCCTGTGCCAGAGGATGCTGATGACGATGTGGCTTCCAACGACTGGGAGGCCAAGAAGGCTGCCCGATCGGCCCGCGCCAAGGCAGCTGCCGAGCGCCGTGCTGAGGCCGCCGAGGAGGAGCGCCGCGCCATGAGGGCAAGGGGCATTGCAGGCCCAGGGCAGCCAACCATCGTGGTAGCCATGGCGGCCAGCGGGGCGGCATCGTCACCGATGTCAAGCAGTGTGGAGCCGCGTGTGGTTCCCGGAGAAGAGCGCCCGATGCCAAGGGGACGCGATGAGGCAGCCCGCAGTTCAGACGTTGAGAGGGACCGAAGCCCCAGACGATCCCATGACGGCCATGGGGAGGACTTGTTTTCACAGGGGTGAGTTTGCCTGCGGAGGTGGACACCGCCAGTGGGGATCGGCTCTTGCCCAGCGCGCGTCACCTCCGCAAGGGCTGCAGGCTCAATCGCACAGTTCTGTCTTGCCGCGAAGTCCACTTCCAGATTGCAGCAGGCTCGTGGATGTGCTGTCCAGGCCTGCCGCGGCACTTTCTCTTGCGTAAATTGTTGTCTCAGAGTCCAAAGAAGAGTGCGAATTGCCTTGTCTTGTCTTGCATCGTCTCCATTCTGCCATGCGCTTCTGCATAATGTTGTTGCGGACTTGTCAGCATGCATCGATCGACGATTCACAGTTGCACAGACTGGTTGTATACACGGATGTCAGTGCAGCGACGGAGGTACCATGGATGTGGATGTCCGCCCGTGTCGACGACGGTGCGCGGGAGTTTCCGCGGGCGTCCCCCGCGAGCCTTGAGAGCATTGCTGGCCCCGAGGTGTCCCCTCTTGAGGCCGTTGTGACTCCCATGGCCCCTCCCGTCCTCATCTTCCCTTCTCATCCTGCTCCCTTCCTCGCATGCGTGTTGCGAGCGGCAGTCAAGGGGTAGCAGGGTTGGGTTGCAGGGTTTGCAGTCTTGGGGTAGAAGGGGAGGGCGGCTGCTTTGCCTCATGATGTCACATGCTTGAACCCACGTGCTGGCCGAGGGCCGAGAGTACGAATAGCGTGCCCCGCCACGCCGAGCTGGCGAAGTGGTGTCTGCAGAGGACAAGCGGAGAGGCGAATGTAAAGCTGCCCATCAGTGCACTATTTCCCGAGGGGGTAGACCCGTAGAGCCCATACGGGTGCTCACGATGGCTTAAATGCGACGGAGCGTGTATCCCCTCGGGACCATGGAGTATCACCTTCATGTATTTCCCTCTGCCTCCACCTCCGCACCCTTCCACGCGCGCGGCGAGCGGCAGAGAATTGCAGCGTTGGGGTAGCAGGGAAGGGTTGCTGCCTCCTGCTGTCACTGCATTGCCTGCCCACTGTTTGCGGACACCGTGGAATGTGTTTGTCAGGACCGTCTCTTTGCATTTTGTGGTGCGTGTCACGTGCTGGTGCTCAGGCGCTGGCGGCTTGGCCGAGAGTGCGAATAGCGTGCCCCGCCATGCTTTCTGGCGCGATGGTGCCCGCAGCGGACTCGCTGAGAGACGATGTCCTTCTCACCTGCTCTCGCTCCTGCTTATATATGTTCCCCTCTCTCTTTCCCCACACTCGTGCACCGTCAATGGCGTAGCCTGTTCGGCAAGCGATACTGTCGGGGATGGGCCAGTTGGTGGGTGGGATTGGAGCAGTCTTGACATGTACTCCGCCCGTTTGGGGTCGGAGCCTGGTCGTGTTTTGAGACGCACGGCGCCAAGCTGTCATACCTAGTGGGTGTGGTCGTTGGGGGGGGATGAGCAAGGGGTGGCTGGGCCGTGAACATGTACTCTCCTTGGCGCCCGTGCTTCAATGCTCTCGACTGCTCGTTTGTATGAAGCTAGCTGAGTGCCGACACTATCTGACCGCTGTCCGTGGCGAATCAGGTCGCAATTCAAATTCCTCCTCCTCCTCCTACTGGCAACCAGCGGGGTCCGACTGCACCCGCGCTTCCCCCTCCTCTTTCTGCTGCTCCTCCTCCTCGTGATCTTCCGTTTCCTCCTCCTCCTCCTCCTTCTCCGCCTCCTCCATCTCTTTCTCCTCTGTAGCGTCCCCCCCTTCCTCCCCATCCTCCTCTGCCCCCTTCTCCTGCATTCCCTTTCCTTTTGAACGACTCCTCCATGTCGCGAAGCACCCCCAGACGTGTCCAAGGCCAGGCCAGGCTTTTCGCCTGAAACTTCCTCACCATTGATGATCCTGAAGCTTGAACTTTGCAGCCGCTTCAAGAATGGAGGGCGGCCCGTTTTCGAAATGGAGCTCTCGCCTCAGCGCCGCGCACACTCGTCTTAAAGATGTGCAACGGCTTCGGTGATGGAGGGCGGGCCGTAAAACGGAGCTCTCCCCCTATCGCCGCGCACGTTCGTCCTCAAAGCTTCCAACAGCTTCAAAGATGGATGCTGGCTCCTTTCCAAAATGTGGTTCCCGCACTAGCGCCGCGCACATTCGTCTTAAAAGCAGTTTGCAGCAGTTTCAAGGGTCCGTCGGGCTGAAATTTCAGGAACTGCCTTTTGCCACGAATTCTGATTTTCCAGACGCAACAGTCACGTGGATTCGCGGTATTGAAATCCCAGGAACGGGGTTTGGGCACTCAGGACTGTTACGGCGCAGCAGCCACGTTGATCCGCGGCGTCGTAAAACCAGGAAAACTCTTGTGGCACGATCGATGATCCTCAAACTAATTTGAGAAACCAGGGGGCGCCTGGATCCTCAGAAAATTGTAATGGGAAGCTGTTGCTGTATTGCCGTTTCTCGCTCCTTGCGAGGCCTACTTTCTTTGTAAAGTCTGAATGTTCGCGTTCTTCGGACTGTTCTTTTCCAATGGGCCATTTCCTAGAATGACAATGTATTGTTGACGGGGCCTGTGAAGAGGGAAATGGATTACAACATCGTTAATGCGTCTTGGGTCTTCACTGGTCCTCCTCTTCCTCCTCCTTCTCTGCGCCTTCCTCCCCATCATCCTGCCCTCCTGCTACTCCTCCTCCTGCTCCTCCTGCTCCCCCTCATCATCATCTGAGGTGTCCTGCCATCCTCTCCCTCCTCCTCCTCCTCTTACTCATCCATTGTCTCCTCATGTGGAGCCTTGAAGCTGAGCTTGACCTTGGGCTCTGCATACTCGTGCCCCGACCATTCGTACCTCCAAAGCAGGGGGAAGGAGGGAATTGCCAGTGGGGGGAGGGTGGGGGCGCCACGGCCGACGATCGAGGAAGCGGAGGAGAGGAGGGGGAACAGGGGAGGGACGGAGTGGGGGAGGCCGGAGGGAGGAGGGAGAGAGGAAGGAAGGAGCAGGAGGGAGGAGGGAGGGGTGAGGAAGCAAATGAGCGAACGACCACCACCGCAGAAACGCACCCAAGCTTTAGACCAGATGGATGAGGACGTGGCCTCTGTACAACGCCACCTGCTGTGCCCTTTTGTCGGAGGAGGGAGTGAGAGAGGGCTGCGGGTCGTGGGTCGTTGCGAACACCTCGCCCATGGATATCGACAAGACAACGCAACTAGACGCTGCCGACACATTCGCATACAGAACAGCGAGAAAGCTCAGCAACCGCTAACTGCGGGCCTTGTCAAGCAGGACCCAGGCGGCACATAACCGTCCTCAGGAGAGCTCGCGCCGGCAAAAGGGAGGGAGGGAGGAAGGGAGGGGGGAAGGGAGGGAGCATGCGCATAACGTACATCTTAGCCTCTGTCGCAGCCGTCTTGGACCCGGCGACGAATCCTTTAGAAGGATAGATCCGTGGACCCACAGCCCCGTCCAAAAAGATTCTTCGAGGGATGGAATACATGCGTAGAGCTAGGCGGACGGCATAGAACGGGCACTGCAAAGCCTGAGAGGCGCGATAGAGCAAGTCGCGATCTAGGTTCTCATAGAACTGCTTAATGTCCCAGAGCATCGTTTGTGCGCGCATCCGATCTGCTACCCGTCCTCCTGCTCTGACTGCCGCTCGCAATACAGTATCTTCTGCACTCCGCCCCTTACTCATACTGCTCTGCGCTCTAGCCCCCTCACGAATCCGCCCATTCCCTGGCGCCCATGCAGAGGCACTGCCCTTGCAACCTGGCGAACGCCGAAAAGTGACCAATGGGTCGCCTGCCTGGCCCCGTGACCTCTCTGGCCAGAAGCACGATGCGTTCGCGAACTTGACGAGGCAGCGCGCTGACCACTTGAGAGAGATGCAAGAGCAGACACAATATATACAGACCAGATTCTGAATGAGAGCGAAGTGCCGTGGACGAAACCCATCTGGGGTACGCGTCCTCTTTTCGAACGCCCTCAAGCCCCTTGGATCATACCCGAGGTCGGGGGGAGGGGTGCCGGGGCGGGGGCTTGATTGGCGAATCCAGAATATTGCCCATCCTGCTCTCTCTTACCTTCTCAAGCTTCATTCCACTCCTTCCACTCATGCTCCATCTCGACGGCGAGGGGCGACGAGAAGACTTGGTCCATTGGAAACACGCTTGCTTCACCTTTCTTGCCTCCTTTGAGACGCGCGAAAACCTGCCCCCCAGAGTCTCCAAAAGCTTCTGAACACCAAGATTGCCAAAATTCGGATCTGAAGGTCGACTCTTTGGGAAGCCCTTCATCGTGGATCTGAGCGCAGACTGTCGCAAGCCTAGCAAGGATGTCAAAGGGGGCCTCCCGAGAGGACGTCTCGAGGAAAGTTATGATGTTCCCTAAGAGCGTGCGCCAGAAGTCCTGCACCTCCTTCCAAAACTGCCGAAAAGGGCCCTCCGCGCCTAGGTAGCATCGATAGATGATGTGCCAGATTGAAGCCCTCCGCCGAGAGCCGTCCGTCGCTCTTGGCGATGTGACTACGAAGCTCGCCGCACCTCTTGATGGCCCATGTCATGGCTCTGTGAGGCACTACCTTGCTGTTGTGCTTAGCGGTGAGGAGCTGGACTAAGGGCTTCGTCTTGAATTGCATCGGAGTGCCGGGAGGAGCCCTTTGGGAGCTGACTGAATGGCCTCCAAAATTTCGCCCCAGGCCATGGCAGCCCAAGCCCCGTAGGAGTCGGTCAGAATCTGCGAGCCCTGAAGCCGATGCACCCCGCCCGCCGTCTACGCCACCCCTGCGTCGCCCGCGCAGGTGGCCAACAAGGCCTCATAGGTCCGGCTGTCTCGATAGTCGGGCGGTTCTCTGGGCGGCCCGACTGCAGCATCACATGGGGCCACCTGGTACGGCACTGGCACCGAGAGCGAGACGTCCCTGATAGCTCGCTGCACTGCGAGGTTTACTGCAGAGCGTGGACGAGAGGCCACATCGATGTCAAGCCCGATCATAGGCGCCGCTCTGTCGAGCAGGGCCGATACCAGGAAGAAGTCGACAATGGTCCCGGCGTCCTTGGAGCGGCAAGCGCGGGCCTCTGGAGCCCGGATTACCAGGTCCAAGTCGTGGAGAGGAACGTGCTCTCACAGCGCCGCGGGGTTCATATTGAAACCCCCGCCTACGATACAAGGGAACTTGGGTCTCTGGATGTCGCCCCCAAGATCCTTCGAGATCCTGATGTTCTTCAGACCCAATCCTACGCCGTCGTGCATGTAGATGAAGCACAGCGCTGCCGTACCCCAGGCACAGGTTCTGAGGAAGCATCTGGCCAACCTAGCAGAAGCCAGGATAGGCGAAGTGGTGGGCGAGTTCCAGATATCGAGATGCCGCTTAGCCTGAATAAGGACTCCGCCTGAGGCATAGCCTGTATCTGGCTTGGTAGCTAGGAGTGTAGAGGCCACTGCATCATACGTACCTTCTAATGGCTCGTGCTTCTGAATGTACACTATACCCCCTGCAACCTGCGGAACCAGTTTTGCACCAGTGGCCCAGGAGTTCAGGTTGAGGGTGGTGAAGAGAAGAGGCCGAATGCTACCCATGCTGCCGCGGCGCCCCCTGCACCCACTGCAACTGCTGCACCTGCAGCTCCTCATCCTCCTCCTGCACCTTTGCCGTTGGTACCGCCGCCGAGCCCCCCAGCGCCTGCTGGATCAGCTCCGCGATGGCTGGGCGCCTGGCCTGTCTCTGCGGAACCTGATGCTGCCGCTGGCGCTGCTGCAGATGGCCCCTTCCAAAATCCAGGCTCTTTCTTGATATGGGGCTTCTGGGCCCCCTTTTCCGCACTCCAGAGGCCAGGCAGATTTCGGAATTGTGCCAGGGACTCTTTTCCAATCTCCTCCGCTTGGTTCCCGAGGGCCCCCTGGATCCCCTGGCCACACCCCCCATCGATCTCCAATTCCTCGTCCGAGTCCTCCACATACCCTCCATCTGCGGCAATAGCTGATGCTGCTGGGGAAGGTGCTGTTGAGACTGCCTCTGGCACTGCTGCTCCTCCTCCTGGACCTTCCCCCCTCTGGAAGCCGGGGCGAGAGCGCGCCGAGGATCGAGAAGAACTGCCGCTCCATCTGCCCCCTGAGACTCGGATCATGCACAACATTGCCCACTGCTTGCCTGAGGGGCCCCGCATAAGTGCCCCCCGTGGCCAAGGCTGGGGTGATAGCTGGACACATGGATTCTTGAAGCTTAGACTGCACCTGGGAACGCGCCCCCGTGAGCTGGACATGGGCTGCCTGCAGAGCCTTACCCACTTGCGAACGCCGCTCCAAATATGCAGCGATAACGCCTTCTGCTTCAATGATCTGGTCCTGGATCGTCTCAACCTCCCCCTCGAATTTCTTGACCTGCTTCTCAGGCTTCTGGGGGATAGGCGACGCCAAAGCCTGGGACTCCTGGCGGGCCTTGTGGACGGCCCAAGCCTGTACGAGAAGCCCTGGGGTGGCCTCGTCAAAACTGAGTCCTCCACTCCCCAACTGGAAGAGGCGATGGAGGGAGTCGTGTGGGGAAGGGTTGGGGCGGTCGCCACGCCCACTACCCTTGGACACGCTCTCTTTTGGACGCCCGCCCTCGGGCCTCCTGCGCCGCCCCCCCCCCCCCCCCCCAAAAAAAAAAGTAGACGGTGCTCGGTCCATATTCCGTCCCTTGCCTTTCCTGCGACCCTTGGCCCAGGGAGGTGGTTTATCGCCCCAATCCCCTCCATCCTCATCTTCCTCCTCCCCCTCATCCTCCTCCTCTTCCTACACCTTCTTCTCCTCCTCCTCCTCCTCCTCCTCCTCCTCTTCTTCTTCTTCTTCTTCTTCTTCTTCTTCTTCTTATTCTTCTTCTTCTTCTTCTTATTATTCTTCTTCTTCTTCTTATTCTTCTTCTTATTCTTCTTATTCTTCTTATTATTCTTCTTATTATTCTTCTTATTCTTCTTCTGTTTCTTCTTCTTCTTCTTCTTCTTCTTATTATTATTATTATTATTTTTCTTCTTCTTCTTCTTCTTATTCTTCTTATTCTTCTTCTTCTTCTTCTTCTTCTTCTTTTTCTTCTTCTTCTTCTTATTCTTCTTCTTCTTCTTCTTATTATTATTCTTCTTCTTCTTCTTATTCTTCTTCTTATTATTCTTCTTC